AAATACTGGAAGGGTTTGGTGGACATTGACCTTGAATTTTGGAGTTGTAGTTTACCTACATGCTGAGATCACTGTGGACCCAAACAATGGTGGATCTGGACCAAACTTGACAGGAATACTCAATATGCCCAAATGTGAACACTGGTGGAGTTTGGGGAAAATAGACCTTGACCTTTGACAGTTGTAGCTGCTGGGATTTGTAGTTCACCTACAATCAAAGAGCATTCCAAACTCCACCAACGATAGAATTGGGCCAAACTTGGCACACAGAACCCCCATATTAAAAGAAAATATTGTGTTTTCTGACGGTCTTTGGCGACCCCTCTGATGCCCCCTCACAACCCCCCCAGGGGTCCCGACCCCCAAGTTGAGAAACACTGGCTTAGGTGATCTGTCAGGATTTGGTAGAAAACAAAGCCTCAACTAAGTAGAAACCGATTTCTAACCGCTAGTGACCTAGCTAATGAGGGGATAAAAGTCTTAAGTTTGGGGTGTGTAGTCAGATGAAGCATTGTTTAGAATCACGCCAAGTTCTCGTCCTTGTTTTATGGAAACCTTGCTTTGAAGTTTCATGCTAAGATATTTCATGATTTCATGATTGCTTACCCAAGCCTTGGATCAATATATTTCTGCTTTGTTTGGATTGTATTGGAGATGTGTGGACTTTGCTTGTATGGATGTTGCTGAACTCTACCTTGGACTAATTCGTTCCTGCTTATCTTCTTACCTAATTGGATTTACCTATTTCTTTATAGTGCCTTTTACTTTTCTGCTTTTTACTTACCTTCAATAAAAGGATTGTTTTTTTCCTATTCAACCTGTGGTGTTTAAAGTCAGAGGGTTATTCCTGTTCTGGAGTGCAACAGATCCCAACTTCTTAAGCTGATATCATACAATTATTAGAGTTTAGGCAAAACAAAATATATTGTACACACACCTCCAAGGTTGTGAAATTCTGAATGGTTGCAAATACCGATAGATGTAGCAACCCTGAGAAGATTCATATGCTAAGGATAACATTGATGTGTTTACATATGTGCCTTCAAGTTGCCTGTCAGCTTATGGGAAGGTTGTTAATTCCATGAAGGTTTGTTAGGGAGGAAATGATCAGAGATGGCTGGACAATTCCTTCTTCTGAAATATAGCCTACAGCACTTGCTGTTCATGGGTGGACTCCCATCCCAGTTCTAACCATGGCTGACTGTGCTCAGCTTTCTAGATCAGCCAGGCTCTAGTGCAGGCATTGGCAAACTTGGGCCCTCCAGGTGTTTTGGATTTCAACTCTCAGAAAAGAAAAGGGCCTGATGCTGTTAGGAATTGTGGGAGTTGAAGTCCAAAACACCTGGAGGGCCCAAGTTTGCCCATGCCTGCTCTACTGCCTTTAGGCTATTTAAGCAAAAATTGAAAATAAGTTTTACAGGTTTAGGTTTCATTTCTCCCTCTTCTAGAATATCACATGGCTTCAGCTACTTTAACACTCTTATGTTTGAAGCTGATACGTAGCGATGGGGAAAGAACATGTAACGTTCAGGCTAAGATAAGGACTACTTTCAGTTTATTAGCAACTATTAGGGACTCCTCAATGTGACATAAAATAGGCTTTCATACAGCTTGATATCCTACAAGTACATAAAACTGTCCAGAAGCTATATTTATGAGTGATGTTTTGGTGTTCCCAGAGATTCTGAAATAAACTGCAATATTAATAGTGTCTATCTTTGGCCTTCTTGTCTCCTACTGCTGGAGATAGTTGGTGCTTGAGAGAGGACGATAGAAAAACACACTTCACTTATTTATTATTATTTATTTACTGTATTTGTATACCGCCTTTCTCAGCCTGTCTGCGACTTTGGGATGTTAGTAAAGGTAAAGGTTTTCCCTGGCATTAAGTCTAGTCGTGTCCGACTCTGGGGGTGGTGCTCATCTCCATTTCTAAGTCGAAGAGCCGGCATTGTCCATAGACACCTCCAAGGTCATGTGGCCAGCATGACTGCATGGAGCGCCATTACATTCTTGCAGAAGCAGTACCTATTGATCTACTTACATTTGCATATTTTCGAACTGCTACGTTGGCAAAAGCTGGAGCTAACAGTGGAAGCTCATCCCACTCCCTGGATTCAAACAACCAACTTTTCGGTCAGCAAGTTCAGCAGCTGAGCAGTTTAACCTGCATTTATTTACCCTATTTATACCCCACCTTTCTCTACCCCAAGGAGGACTCAAGGCTGCTTCCATATGGCAATTCTTCAATGCCTTAAACACATATAAACATTAAGCTTTAAATCAATTGGATTAAAAAGTTATACATATAAGACATTTAAAATTACATTCAATATTAAAACACACAATCCAAAAGTCATGATCTAAGGCCATTCTGTAGTCATTGTACATATTCCAATCTATATAAATAAAAATGTAATGTTCGTTTGTGGGATTAATATAACTCAAAAACCACTTGGCGAATTGACACCAAATTTGGACACAATACACCTGTCAGGCCAACGAGTGACCATCACTCAAAAACACTGGAAAACACAGCAGAAGGGGCTTTAAAAGCAACCCCCCCCCCAAAAAAAATACAACACATGCGCAAAACCACATATATATATGAAAGCACACATATATACACACACAAAGCACATATACACAGACTGGGCCACAGCAACGCGTGGCAGGGGATGGCTAGTCACTCACTGAAAAAACACTGAAAAACAACGGAAGGGACTTAAAAAAACAAAAAATATACATTGCAACACATGCTTAAAACCACTTACACACACACACAAAACACCTATACATAGACTCGGCCACAGCAACATGTGGCAGGGGACAGCTAGTTATATTATATTATTACCTCGCTTCTCCGAAAGCCTGATCCCACAGCCAGGTTTTTACTCTCTGAAGGCTAGAAGGGACTGGCCTGATCTGATGTTGCTAGGGAGGGAGTTCCCCAGCCAAAGGGCCACCACTGAGAAGGCCCTGTCTCTTGTCCCCAATTGCAAAAAAGGAGGGACCAATAACAGGGCCTCCCCAGAAGATCTTAATCTCCAAGGTGGTTCATAGGAGGCAGATACGTTTGGATAGGTAAACTGGGCCGGAACCGTTTAGGGCTTTAGAGGATGTAATTTAAATCAAGCTAACACATCCCCCCTCTTCGTTTAGGGGATATTAGCTTCATTTAAATTACCTTTCTGCAGCTTCTGTAGACAAGAGAAAAGTAGACTTGGCTTGATGTTGCGGTCTCCAACTGAATAAGAACTTGAGTATCTTTTCTTTTCTCTTGCTCAGAATAGAAAAAAAAGGAAATAAGAGGGAAATTCAGGGAAGTAGGGTGTTTTCTAAGTTCTTCATAAGGTCTTCTGCTTCACATTTCAGTTCTTTATCTCATTAGAGCTTTGAATATGTCAAGACTCATCACAAAATTCTAAGTGGGTGCAGTACACATTTACTACTTGTGATCTCTGTTTCACATTAATGTCACAAAACTCTACAAGTGCTCTAGTTTTATACAAAAAAGCAATTTTAATAGGTAGGCTTGTTATAATAGAATCATAGTTGGAAGAGATCTTGTCCAACCCTCTGCCAAGAAACAGGAAAATTGCATTCAAAGTACCCCTGACAGATGGCCATCCAGCCTCTGTTTAAAAGCCTCCAAAGAAGGAGCCTCCACCACATACCGGGGCAGAGAGTTCCACTGCTGAACAGCTCTCACAGTCAGGAAGTTCTTCCTCATGTTCAGATGGAATCTCTTCTCTTGTAGTTTGAAGCCATTGTTCCGCGTCCTAGTCTCCAAGGCAGTAGAAAAAAATCTTGCTCTCTCCTCCCTATGACTTCCCCTCATCTCTTGATACTTGGCCATCATCCTGTCTCCTCTCAGCCTTCTCTTCTGCAGGCTAAACATGCCCAGCTCTTTAAGCCGCTCCTCATAGAGCTTGTTCTCCAGACCCTTGATCATTTTAGTCACCCTCCTCTGGACACATTCCAGCTTGTCAACATCTCCCTTCAATTGCGGTGCCCAAAATTGGACACAGTATTCCAGATGTGGTCTGACCAAGGCAGAATAAGCTTGTCAACATCTCCCTTCAATTGCAGTGCCCAGAATTGGACACAGTGTGATTCCAGGTGTGGTCTGACCAAAGCAGAATACAGGAGTAGCATGACTTCCCTAGATCTAGACACTATACTCCTATTTATCCAGGCCAAAATCCCATTAGCTTTTTTGCCGCTGCATGACATCGTTGGCTCATGTTTAACTTATTGTCTACAAGGACGCCAAGATCTTTTTCACACGTACTGCTGTCAAGCCAGGCATCATCCCCCATTCTGTATCTTTGAATTTCATTTTTCTAGGTTCTTGTGGGTTTTTTCAGGCTATAGGGCCATGTTCTAGAGGCATTTTCTCCTGACGTTTCGCCTGCATCTATGGCAAGCATCCTCAGAGGTAGTGAGGTCTGTTGGGATTGTTTTGAAACCTTCTTAACGTTTGGGTGTTCCAAGAGGTCCAGTAAAGCTGAGTCATGGAAAATTCAGGAAAGGGTATGGGGAGTATTATTTCAGACGGCACATGGATTTTTAGCTCATTTTAATCTATTTATTTACATGCCAGTGTATGACTGCCAGCTCCAGTGGACTGTGGCTCATGCCTCTGTGTCATCTATAGCTGCTTACTAGAGTGTATGAGAGCAGGGAGCATTATAATCTGTGTTACTAAGCTGATTGCAAGGTAAAGTACTCTGGATGGCTTAAATAATATTTGAACTACGGCAATTGATCTTGCACTGCTGGGAGAATGATTTTTGCCATTAATGGCAGGAAAACTCACATTATCTTTTCCTTATGGCTTCGTTTTTTGATACTTGTTACCTTACCATTAATGACAGACGAGATGAAGATTGGTTTCAAGGAGCATTTCCCTTTTTTCTCTACAGAAGGAATATATTTCCTGGAGAACTGCCTTTGTAGGACTTGCACCACTGATTTTGCTTTGCTTTTCCTTCCAGTCCTTGCAACACCGCCACCTCTGCCACCTCCAATACAGGCATATGCATTCAAGCCTCCTCCTCGACCTGACTTTGGGACTTCAGGGAGAACAATCAAACTGCAAGCCAACTTTTTTGAAATGGACATTCCCAAAATTGACATATATCATTATGAATTGGATATAAAGCCAGAGAAGTGCCCTAGGAGAGTTAACAGGTACAGTACACTTTGTTTTTTTCCAGCAGCCTCATTTATTTTATCCTCTTCATTTCAAAACAAGCCTGTTTCACCACAGAACCATTTTTCTTGCAGAGACATTTCTTAATGAGATACAGCAATGTTGTCATTCTGTTTGCACCAGTGCCTTTTAAAAACAGTTGTTTTTTTCTTAATCTTTTTTTTGTATCACGCTGAATACATCTTTGTCTTAGTATCTCAATCCTTGTCTTGTGTCAAACTCAATGCTCACAAGGTCCGGACACATTTCAGAGTTTGTCGCGTTTTGAATTGTTGTGTTTGCATTTTGTTTATGGGTTGTTGTAGGTTTTTTGGACTATTTGGGCATGTTATAGAAGCATTCACTCCTCTAACATTTTGCCTGCATCTATGGCAGGCATCCTCAGAGATTGTGAGGTTGTGAAGACCTAACAACCTCTGTGGATGCCTGCCATGGATGCAGAGAAAACGTCAGGAGAGAATGCTTCTAGAACATGGCCATATAGCCCAAAAACCTTAACAACCCAGTGATTCCGGCCATGAAAGCCTTCGACAATACATTTTGTTTATGTTTGTTTAGAACACAATGAATGGATGAGTATGGTGGGTTATTTATATGTTAATGAGGTACCATATATATTCAAGTATAAGCCGGGTTTTTGAGCCTTTTTTTAGGGCTGGAAAAGTTTATACTGAAGTGAGGGCCTTGGTTGACTTATGTTTAGGTTCATGTGCTGGTACAGCTGTACCAGAAGCTCCCACTTTATTTGCCTTGTATTAAGTGTTTGCTTGCAGCCCAAGGCTTGGGATTCTGCAGAAGGGTGGCTTCCTGTTAAAGTTTGCAGTTATAGGGCAGGCCCCCTGTCCATCATCGTTAAGTTTGGTTCCGCCCCCTGTTCAGGACAATTGAGAAGGGAAGGGAGCCATTTTCAGTCAGTCTCAGCAAGGAAAGTCAATGTACAGGACGTGTACAGACTTCTCCTGTACAAAGGCTTCAACCCTTAAGACCTCCGGGGGAGAACAGTCTTAAGAGCAAAAGGATTCCCAAAGATTCCCAGGGAAACAGCCCTAAAGCTCTGAGGAATTTCGGAGGGAAAAACAGCTTTGAACATCTAAGAACTCCAGCTGAAGTGACTACAGGCCTACTGGTAGGTCCACTCGGTGCTTTGAGACGCAGATCAACCCGGTAGTGGAGCCCACATCAGTTAGGTTTAGGATCACAGTTAGCCTGGGAGAAGTTTGGAAAGGGATTTTCCTTTAGAGTAAAGTAACAGTTAGAAGCCACCAGTTGCACAAAGCCTGGAAGCATTTGTTTAACCTTTTGAAGACAAAGAAGTTTCTGTTGATTGTTCACCAATAAAAGACTTTGTTATATTTTACAAGCCCTCTAGAGACTGTTTATGGTGAAAATCCTTAAGAATTTCTCTTTGGCCAGCGCGCGACAGAACAACTCGAGTATATAGGTAATCAGAGTTGGACAGTTTAATATTAAATTACAGTTTCAGTATTCCAAATATTAAATATTCAAAAACATTTAACCTACTGATGCCTCCATTAATGTAATTTTATTGATATCTATTTTTATTTTTGAAATTTACCCTCCCTCGTCGTATACACGAGCCAATAAGTTTTCCCTGTTTTTTTGTGGTAAAATTAGATGCCTCGGTTTATATTCGGGTTGGCTTATACTTGAGTCGGAGACGACTGAACGAATGAACAACAACACATACTTGAGAATAATTAGTAGTTACTTTTATGCAGTCTTATAATCCCTTCAGCCAGGAAATCAGAAGACGTTTACTTCTTGGGAGGAGAGCAATGACCAATCTCGATAAAATAGGGTAGAGACATCACACTGGCAACGAAGGTCCGCATAGTTAAAGCAATGGTATTCCCCATAGTAACCTATAGATGTGATTGCTGGACTGTAAGGAAGGCTGAGAGAAGGAAGATAGACGCTTTTGAACTGTGGTGTAGGAGGAAAATTCTGGGATGCAAAAAGATCAAACCAGTCCATACTCCAGGAAAGAAAACCCGACTGCTCTATGAAGGGAAGGATATTAGAGGTGAAAATGACATACTTTGACCACATAATGAGAAGACAGGAAAGCTTAGAGAAGACAATGATGCTGGGGAAAATGGAAGGAAAAAGGAAGAGGGGCCGACCAAGGGCAAGATGGATGGATTGACCTTGAAGGAGCTGGGGGTGGTGACGGCCGACAGGGAGCTCTGGCCTGGGCTGGTCCAGGAGGTCACGAAGAGTCAGAAGTGACTGAATGAATAAATAACAAAAAATAAATAACAAACTGCCCTTTCAAGGCAACCATAAGGGTGATGTGACCCTCCATGAAAGTCATTTTGATTCCTCTGCTTGAAATGAAATGTTGACATTTTAGGTGGTATTATTGGCATGACTGCTTGTGTTTGAAGACTTCCCTATAGCTCAACTATTGCTGAATTGATTTTCTCATTGTTCTGAAGTTTGTTATCAAGTCTCTTAAAGGGAAATGAGATGCTACCGATAACTTCTTTTTCCCTCTTCATTTACTGGCAGGAGGGAAGCAAATAGCTGCCTTTATCCCACCCTGAGAAAAAAGGGGGTGCAAATTAAGTAAATAGAATATTAAAAAATCTATTAGTCTGGTGGTAGAAAATACTTTTGAAGGAGAATATATCTATATCTATATACATACACACACAAGCATACATACATATGAATGAAGAGATAGAGGTTGCACACCTTCCTCAGATTTCCTGTGAATGGAAAATGTTCAGATGAAGATATGTGTAGTCTACTAGATATGTGTAGTCTGTAAAAGTCTGCTTTTACAGACGTCAACAACTGAAGCCATAATGTGCTCAGTATCTTGACAGCTGAAGGACCCCAAGGGTTGTATAGATCTCAGCCAGTTAATTTTGCTTTTTTTCTTTACAGCTATGGTAAATAAACATTGATTCAGAGCTTTTTTGCTTGAACCGTGGAATATGTTTTGTTAACAGAATTCTCTGTTTCTAGAGAAATAGTTGAACACATGGTACAGCACTTTAAAGCACAGATATTTGGGGATCGCAAGCCAGTATTTGATGGAAGAAAAAACCTCTACACAGCTATGCCGCTTCCAATAGGGAGAGATAAAGTAAGTATATAATGCCCGCTTGAGTTATCGTCACAAATTGTCCTATATACATTTTCATTGTGGGCAAAGCTACATGTTTTCCATACATTTTAATGTTTTTATTAATTTTAACCAAATTGTTTTTAATAATTATGTTTAATACTATTTTAATATTTGTATATTTTAAATTGTATTGTAATGGTTTTGAATGTCAGTAGCTTTGAGTCTCCTTATGGAGAGAAAAAGTGGGATATAAATAAAAAATATAATAATAATAATAATAATAATAATAAAAATAAAAATAATAATTATTATTTTAGTTAGAACAGATTCATATCCTGGAGCCCAAGGTGTTTTACCTATCTCTATCTATCTATCTATCTATCTATCTATCTATCTATCTATCTATTTACAGCATTTATATTCCGCCCTTCTCACCCCGCAGGGGACTCAGGGCGGATTACAGTGTCCACATATATGGCAAACATTCAATGCCAATTTTTGACATACAACATATACAGACATAGACAGAGGCTATTTAACTTTTTTCTCGCCACCAGGGGAGCTGTTGCTTTCATTGTCCATGCGACACTGATGAAGTACTTCCGCATTCCCCGCATGCTTTTTGCTGGAGTGCTTGCTGGAGTCTTTTTTTTATGGCCTCATAAATTAGTTAATTTAGCCTCCCCACACTTTAAGGTGGTACCTAATTTTCCTACTTGACAGATGCAACTGTCTTTCGGGTTGCAAAGGTCGACAACAGGCTACACAATTGGTTGGAAACCCACTCCAACCCGTGCTGGCTTCGAACTCATGACCTTTTGGTCAGAGTGATCTATCTATCTATCTATCTATCTATCTATCTATCTATCTATCTATCTATCTATGCATACTGTCAAAAAGATTAAAAATTAAGTAGGTATTTTTAATTACAAAAATGTGAGTCAAGTACTGAAAGGGTTAAATGGATGCAATGACTTAGAAAAAGTTGCAGTTCAATATAAGCAGTGTGTGAGAGATGTGTCCGTATGAGAAGAGAGAGCCCTCGGTATGAGAAGGCCTCAGTGTGAGGTAGGTCTCAGTCTGAATAGGCCTCAGTAAGAGAAGACCTGGTGTGAGAAGCTTCAGTGAGAGAAGCCCCAGGTTGAAGGTCATCGTATGTAAAGCTCCAGTGTGAAGGTTGCAAAAAAAGTGTAAAAAAGACTACAGACTTATATCACATTTTATTTTGTGATATTTTATGGATGTCTGCTTATGTTTTTATCTCTTTGATGTCTATGTAATTGTTTTTATTTTATGTGCTGCACTTTGGAGTACTTTGTTAGCTGCCCCGAGTCCCTTCAGGGAGATGATGACAGTGTACAAATAAAATATTATTATTATTATTATTATTATTATTATTATTATTATTATCATTAGCATTATCATAATCATCATCATCATCATCTGTAAAACAGAAAGAATAATGTTGTTATCATTTCCATTCACACCTTGAAGCCCAAGGTGTGATGTGATATATGTGTGTGTGTGTGTGTGTGTGTGTGTATATGTGTGTGTGTGTGTATATATATAAAATACACACACATATGTCTACACATACATCTACAGGCGTATATCTCTAAACGGAAAGAATCATCTTGTTGTCGTATCCAAATGTTGCAGGTGGAATTGGAGGTGACGTTGCCAGGAGAAGGGAAGGACAGGATATTCAAGGTGGCGATAAAGTGGATGTCGGGCGTCAGTCTGCAGGCCTTACACGACGCTCTCTCCGGCCGTCTTCCAAGCGTCCCTTTTGAAACGATACAGGCGCTGGATGTGGTCATGAGGCACCTGCCTTCCATGAGGTGGGAGAAAAATTCAGCATCGCAGGAAATGTAGCATGTTGAGATGAACTAACTTAAAACTCTCTCATCTTTTACAAACAACACATTTTACTTGAAGAAATATAACTTAAGAAACTATGGAAAAAGATGCCTTGAATGAGAGCCATAATATACATACAGTTGTCCAAACTCTCTCATCTTTTACAAACAACACATTTTACTTGAAGAAATATAACTTAAGAAACTATGGAAAAAGATGCCTTGAATGAGAGCCATAATATACATACAGTTGTCCATGTGGGATTTTCAGTTCACCTTAATGCAGGCATGGGCAAACTTTGATCCTCCAGCTGTATTAGACTTATTTATTTCATGTCAAAAGCATATATAAGTATAAAACTGATAAAAATAGAAGGAGCACAAGTGACTAAATATTTTTTGATCAAAACGAGGCAACAGCGACTGCATTGTTTGTAGTTTTAAACAATTCTTCCTCTGTATGTGAGGCAGGGCATTGTGGACCAGCATACAGATGCAGAGTTGTTTGTTCTGCTCCACAGTTGCACTAGGTGGAGGATTCTTTTAGGTTGTGCCATTTTGCCAGGTTGTCTTTTGATCTGCCCACTCCACTTCTGCATCTGTTCACAGACTTCCAAGTTGCCCATTCTTGGCTTGCCGCTGGAGGGAGTGATGGTCACTCCTTGTGTTGTGGGACATTTTGTTGCCAAATTTGGTGTGATTTCGTTCATTGGTTCTTTTGTTTTTAAGGTACTCATTACGCACAGAGCATTTTTATATATATAGATATATTAGCATAGCACAGGAGGCAAGGTGGAACTGTCCCCTGTCTTCATGGTTCCGTAGGTGGAAAGCACACACTTTGGACTTCAACTCCCACAATTCTTGACAGCAAGTAGGCTGTGAGCAATTGTGGAGGTTGAAATCCAAAACTCCGGGAGGGCCAAAGTTTGCCATGCCTGGTCTGGACCTTACATTTATAGTGCTTTATGCGTCTTGTAAATCTGTTTGGTTTCCCTTGTAGGTACACTCCTGTGGGCCGGTCCTTTTTCACCGCATCCGAAGGCTGCTCCAATCCCTTGGGAGGGGGCAGAGAAGTTTGGTTTGGATTTCATCAGTCAGTTAGGCCTTCACTGTGGAAAATGATGCTTAACATTGATGGTATGTTCTTTGTGTTAATACTCCATCTGTTCTTGTTTACTATTTTTTATAATTGCATGAAATAATTCTCTTTAATCATATTTCTGACTAGTAGTTGTCTTAGATCTGCTTCAATGTCATTAATTCCCTGTTTTTCTTCTTTTGATTGGTAGTATCGGCAACAGCTTTTTACAAGGCGCAGCCAGTAATTGAATTTGTATGTGAAGTTCTGGATTTCAAAAGCATTGAAGAACAACAGAAACCTCTGACGGATTCCCAAAGGGTTAAGTTTACCAAAGAAATTAAAGGTAAGGAAGCCTGAAGATGAGGGACAAGTATTGAGGGCCTCAAGTGATTTCTCAAAGAATGTTTGAGAGTGAAAACGATCAAACAGAATTAGAAAAGAAGAAAAATAGAATGTCATTCATATAGAAAAATGTTGTGTCAATGCTTCTCATAGCCCAGCCAGGGAATATCGGGTCCTAATTCAACTTGTGAGTACTCGTACTAGTGAAGGAGACAAATAGGTATTTGCCCGTTGTAGTAATAAAACTTCAGTGTCCCCCCAAAAGATTTAATGTCATTTCAGCATCTATCCAATTCTGGGCACCACAATTCAAGAGAGATATTGACAAGCTGGAATGTGTCCAGAGGAGGGCGACTAAAATGATCAAGGGTCTGGAGAACAAGCCCTATGAGGAGTGGCTTAAGGAGCTGGGCATGTTTAGCCTGAAGAAGGCTGAGAGGAGATATGATAGCCATGTATAAATATGTGAGAGGAAGCCACAGGGAGGAGGGAGCAAGCTTGTTTTCTGCTTCCTTGGAGACTAGGACGCAGAACAATGGCTTCAAACTACAAGAGTGGAGATTCCATCTGAACATGAGGAAGAACTTCCTGACTGTGAGAGCTGTTCAGCAGTGGAACTCTCTGCCCCGGAGTGTGGTGGAGGCTCCTTCTTTGGAAGCTTTTGCTTCTTGGCAGGGGGTTGGACTGGATGAGGTCTCTTCCAACTCTTTGATTCTATGATTCTATGATCCCAGGCATGGGCAAACTTTGGCCTCCCAGGTGTTTTGGAGTTCAACTCTCACAAGTCCTAACAGCTGGTCGGAATATACTCAGCTGTAATTCCATCTTGTCAGATCAAGAGCAGGTTTTGAGCCCAAAATAACATGATGAATTGAAGGTCAATTTTGGGGACATGATCATTGTTTACATTTAATCGAGTGTGCAGAAAGAAATATTTTAGTATCAGGCTAACCCCCTCCCTCCAAACCTTCGCACACAATTAACTACATGGCTTTTTCGATAAGTCTTTGACCATGTTTAGATTCTCCAATAATACACACAGGGACCTTTAGATTCTCTATGAAGCACATTACAATTCTGAGATAGAGCATTTGCTGTATTTTATTGCTTTTAACCAGGGAGTACTGTGAAATTGTGTTGTTATGTTGACTGTTTATTTTTTATGTTTTGCTTTGCGCTTGTTGTATTTTGCATGTTACTCCTTGAGTGTTCTGTGAGCCGCCCCGAGTCACTCTGGTAGATGCAAATAAAAGTTTATTATTGAAGTTATTTATTACTCTTTCAGGGTATTGGTTGTTTTATGATGTTGTTTTATATTATTATTATTATTATTATTTATTTATCGTGTCAGGGGAGACCAGACATTTGCATTGCAGTTTTTAACAAACAAACAAACAAACAAACAGAAAAACAAAACACAAAGTTTGCAAGCGTGGTAGTTGATTAAATGTCCTTTGACCAGTATCTGGCCACTTGGAGTGCCTCTGGTGTTGCTGCAAGAAGGTCCTCCATTGTGCATGTGGCAGGGCTCAGGTTGCATTGCAGCAGGTGGTCTGTAGTTTGCTCTTCTATTATTATGATGATGTTCTTTTATACATTTTTATTATGTTGTGTTTTGAATCTATGTCTGTTCCGGCTTGCCCTCATGTAAGCCACCCCGAGTCCCTTTGGGGAGATGGAGGTGGGGTACAAAAATAAAATTATTACTATTACATATTGTAAAGATTATTATTATTATTATTATCATTCTAAACTGCAGTGCATTTCTGGAGATACTTGATTGCTGATAGCACACCTGATTGCCACAAATATGGTGAATTTCTGGAATCTAGGTTAAATGGGATGGAAACTTCACTTCTTACGTTCTTAAATTGTTAGGTCTGAAAGTGGAAATCACTCACTGCGGGCAAATGAAGAGAAAATACCGAGTATGCAATGTTACCAGACGACCAGCAAGTCACCAAACGTAATGTTTGACTTTTGATCTTGCAAGCGATAATTTAAAAGTTTCGTTCTCTATTTGATGTAAAACCTAGGAATGTGTGCATTGTTTGCCCATTTTCCTCTGATGTTTATTTGGGCAGCAAAGAATATCCACTTTTTATGTGGTTCGGTGACATCATTGCACACACAAATCAAATAAGTGTGTGTGTATATGTATGTGTGTATATATATATTCCTCTTCAGCTAGTTTGTACAATTTGATTAGTGGTGAAAGTTATGACTGCATAATAATATCTTCCATCCTATGTCTTGAAAGAGACCTGTGCATTTCTAAAATTGCGTCCTCGAGTTCATTGTGTGAGAGAGTTGGATAAATATTAAACTTTCCATTCTTCCTCTCAAACTTTGTTTCCCGTAGATTCCCACTTCAGCAAGAGAGTGGACAGACTGTTGAATGCACTGTAGCTCAATATTTTAAGGATAGGCACAAGTTGGTTTTACGCTACCCTCATCTTCCATGTTTACAAGTTGGACAGGAGCAGAAACACACATACCTTCCCTTAGAGGCAAGTAATCTCTTTGCTAAATATTAGGCAAGGTCTCACTCTCTTTCTCTCTCTCTCTGTGATGGTTTTCAGAAGTTACTATTAGTTATTTAACACTTTTTGTCACTATTCCCTGACTTCTTTTCCCACTTCATGGGAAGCGACTGAACGAATGAACAACAAAGTAAATTTTACATTTTAAAAACGTTTCTGTGTTGTCCTGCTTTAGGTCTGCAACATTGTGGCAGGGCAGAGGTGTATAAAGAAGCTGACAGACAATCAAACTTCCACTATGATAAGGGCAACTGCTAGATCGGCACCGGACCGTCAGGAAGAGATTAGCAAACTGGTGAGTTCTCCCTTTGGAAGTAAGAAGCAGGGATGCAGTCGATAGTTGTGTGTTCTGTATGAAAACAAATCCATACGTGTTACCCACTCTGTATATTTCCTTTGCCAAAATTAAACACCTCCTTGCAGTGACTGAGGGTGAATTCACAAAGTTGAAAGCACTGGATGATGTTGGAATAACAACTGGGGCGGGGGAGAGGTGTTTATGGGACATTCCTTAGCTTTATTTGCCCAGTTTTGAATCCTCTGTTTCCAGATAGACTTCATCCTTTGCGAATTTGACAGCTAATAAACATGTTGAGGCTTAGGATCATATTGTAATGAAAGATTTGGTCTTCCATCAGTTTTATTTTTCATTTTCTAGATGCGAAGTGCAAGTTTTAATACTGACCCTTTTGTCCGGGAATTTGGCATTATGGTGAAAGATGAAATGACGGACGTGACTGGTCGGGTGCTGCAGCCTCCTTCAATTCTCTATGGAGGCAGGGTACGTGAACAAATCTATTTATGTATTTATTTATGTATTTATTTACAGTGTTTATATTCCGCCCTTCTCACCCCGCAGGGGACTCAGGGCAGATTACAATGTACATATATATATATAGCAAACATTCAATGCCATAGACACACAAAATATATAGACAGACACACAGAGGCTATTTAACATTCCAGCTTTTTCATGAGGGTATTCTGGTCACCAAGGGAGCTGTCGCTTCACCGTCCATTTGTGACACTGATGAAGTACTTCCTCATTCTTTGCAGGCTTGCTGGAGATTTTTATGGCATCGTAAATTGGCCTCCCCACATAAGCAGTACCTAAATTTCATACTTTACAGATGCAACTGTCTTTCAAGCTGCAAAGGTTGACAGGAAGCTACACAAATTGATCGGAAGCTCACTCCCGACCCGGGCTGGATTCGAACTCATGACCTTTTGGTCAGTAGTGATCTTAATGCAGCTGACTCCCAGCCAGCTGCGCCACAGTCCCAGTGTATCAACAAAGATCCTGTAGGGTCCATAGTAACAACCGCGCTCCCCCTTGTTAACTATTAGCAGTCCTTAAGGCCTAATTGTATAATTTACCTCAATTTCAGATTCTATCATGTAGCCACAGTTCTATAACTTGTAGTGGCTGTTCCGTAAATAAGTATTCTGTGTCCTTATAGGCACAGGATTTGAAATTTATGTCGGGTGAGTGGGCATATTAACGAAAGACCCTCCCCATGAATGTATAGCAGAGTAGCTTATCAGCAGCAGCGTGACCCAGCACCAGTAGCCCAAAGTGATCAAAAGAACAAAAACACACAGACCAATGTTATGTCGTCCTTTGGAGGCTTTTCTTTGTAGTAAAATAATATGGTTGCAGTATTTACAAGAACAAGATTTCCATAATACAGATAAAGTTATTTATACATCTTTGCTTCCACACTGGGCTTTTTTCTCATGCAGATATACAGCTTCGCTCTCACAGAGCCTCTTCTCACACTGAACTTACACAGGAGCTTCACACATGATGGCCTTCAACCTGGGGCTCCTTTCACCGAAGTTTCTCACACCAGGGCTTCACACACCAGGCCTACCAACACTGAGGCCTTTCTCCCTTTCTCTCTGAAGCCTTCAAACACTGAGGGCTCTCACACTGATGCAAATTAACTCTGCCTTTCTCCCACTGAAGCCTGCAAACACTGAGGGCTCTCTCTGAAACTAAGGCCTACTAACACCCTGAGGCCTACTAACACACTGAGGCCTACTAACACACTGAGGCCATTCTCCCACAGAGACCTCTCACACACTGAGGGCTACTAAGCTACAAGCTTATCTGCTTATATTCTGCAGCTTTTGCGGAGTCATTATATCAATTTAACCCTTTCAGTGCTAGACTTACATGTTTGCAATTAAAAATACCTAGTTAATATTTAATATTTTTGACAATTTACACATTCCTTTCTTCTTGTGAGGTTTTAAGAGGAATCCTTTGCACCAACCCTCCCTTTAATGTATTTTGATGCTACCTGAATAATTTAGATGTAGCTTGGCATCACAAATTATGGCCTCTTGTGTTTTGCAGAGAAGAAAATATGATATGTTCCCTGCCCTAGCAATCTTCGTGCTCCACTGCTCTATTTTTTGTGCTCAAGTCTCTTCTCTTAACCTACCAATATGACTCACAGATAGTTGCCTTAAGGATGACTTCTAGGTTATGTTTTATCCTTGATTCGGCAATACTGTTTGTTCTTGATTGGGGTTTTGAACTTGGATGATTTTCTGTGAACTCGTTTCCTCTGATTGTGGTTGTTACTTGAATGCTGAGGTTCTTAAAATCTATTGCATTTGAAAGTTTTTCCCCACTGTTGCATATGTATAGCATTCACTCTTTTCCCCCCTTGATTTCTAGAACAAAGCAATTGCTACACCAGTTCAAGGAGTTTGGGATATGAGGAACAAACAGTTTCACACTGGCATTGAAATAAAAGTCTGGGCAATTGCTTGCTTTGCTCCGCAGCGACAGTGCACTGAAGTCCACCTTAAGTAAGCCTGATTAATGTTGTGTTTACCTTGTAGTTCTCATAAGCTTCTTATTTAAGTATGCATGGTCCTTAAAAATGATTTTCAGATTGTTATAATTAAAGAATGCATCTCTCCAGACACTAGAGAAATGCAGTCAGTCCTCATCATTTTCAGGCTTATATTTTACGGATTCAGTTATCTGATTAATATGTTCTCTATAGGAATCTTGATAGTCAACTTCCGCCTGAAATTGACCATAGAGTAATGCTGGATGACTTAGAGATTCCTAAAGAGAACATATTAAAATCTTCCTGAAACATTCTATGGTCAACTTCTGGAAGAGATTCCTAAAAAGATGTCTTCTCAGGTTAAGAAAACTCTCACACCTTTATTTGCCTTTTTTTTTTTTTACTTTTGTGGGTATCCTGCTCTATAGCTAAAATAATTGAAAGCAAAATCACCTCTTGAACAGTAAAGCCAAGGTAAAGGTTTCCCCTGACATTAAGTCTAGTCATGTGTGACTCTTGGGGATGGCACTCATCTCCATCGCTAAGCCAAAGAGCCGGCATTGTCCGTAGACATCTCCTAGGTCATGTGGCCAGCATGACTGCATAGAGTACAGTTACCTTCCCGCAGAAGTGGTACCTATTTAACTACACACATTTGTATGCTTTTGAACTGCTAGGTTGGCAGAAGCTGGGCCTAACAGCGGGAGCTCCCCCTGCTCCCCAGATTTAAACCACCAACCTTTTGGTCAGCAAGTTCAGCAGCTCAGCTGTTTAACCCACTGCGCCACTGGGTCCTCTTTACGTATATATATAATTTTTATTAATGACACAAAATTACATAAAATAGCATAAGATAAAGAGTGAAAATTATACAGACGTTGTGTATATCTAAAAGAAAAAGACCCATCAAAGAAAAAAGAAAAGAAAAAATAGATAAAAAATAGAGTAAAAAATAGAGTAAAAAGAAAGAATAAAAATTTGACTTCCATTCTTCCTCCTTTAGCCATTTGTCCATTCATATTACAGTTCCATGTTTTCCTAGAAAAACAAAAAGAAAATAATTTCTCCTCCATCTTCAATTCTACTTATCCGCATTCTTTTTATTTATTGTCCATTTTTCTTATAGTCCTCTAGGACCGTCATTCTCAGTCCTTTCCCATTATTTTGTTTAAGCAAAAATGTCAATTTATCCATATCCTTTATTTCCCTTATTTTATCCAAATATTGTGACTTTGAAGAAATTATTTCCTGTTTCCAAAATTTAGCAAATATAATTCTCGCCGCTGTTGCAAAAAAAGTAAACGGTTTTTCAGTGTTGTTACCATTAAATAGATCTGATTCAAACATTCCACAGGCTCTTGAACTATATATATTATTAATATTTCCTGATTTTGGTTGATCCGTTTATTGATTGGTCCACTGACCATATCAACAATTAAATACAAAAAACAAAAATGCACAGACAAACGACACTAATCATTATGCTAAAACTCCTGTAATAATAAATTAAAACACAATAAAACTTAATTGAATAATAAATTTGGTAAAATAGGATTCAATTACAAGATACAAGTAGTAGAGTGTCTAGTGCAGTGGTTCCCAATCTTTAGTCCTCCAGGTGTTTTGGAATTCAGCTCCCACAATTCCTAATAGCTGGTAAACTGGCTGGAATTTCTGGGACTTAAAGTCCAAAACAACCAGAGGACTAAAGGTTGGAAACCACTGGTCTAGTGTAAAAGAGTCAGTTGGAGAATTTAGATCAGTTCATCACCTGATTTCCTGATTGAAACCAACGACTTCTATATCTTTGGCATGGCACATGCTAGTGAAATATTTGCTCTGCAGTACTAACATAAATAAATATATACTTTGGAGGTTAGATGGTTTTCACTAACTATGGTAGCATTTATTCTACGTTAGTGTGCACTGGATTACGACCTTAACGAAGCCTGCAAATGATCCAAAATACAGTTTAAGCAAGCATGGGCAAACTTTGTCCCTCCAGGTGTTTTGGACTTCAACTCCCACAATTCCTAACAGCTGGTAGGCTGTTATGAATTGTGGGAGTTGAAGTCCAAAACACCTGGAGGGACAAAGTTTGCTAGAGTCATGAAAAAAATATTTGGGTTTGAATAGAAAAGTATAAGAAGCCCTGTTCTAGATAACATCCATGGATTTTGATATCCACATGGCAATGAGGTTGCTCTAGAACCAAACCCTAGAGGTTACCACAGGGTCATTGTATTATTTTAATTGAATGTAAAGTATTTTTGTTTAAATGTGTGCCGTCCTTTTTTCTCCCCCTCAAGGTCTTTCACAGAACAGCTAAGGAAAATATCCAGAGACGCAGGGATGCCCATCCAGGGCCAGCCCTGTTTCTGTAAATACGCCCAGGGAGCTGACAGCGTGGAGCCCATGTTCCGGCATCTAAAGAACACCTATGCTGGGTTGCAGCTTGTGGTAGTCATTTTACCTGGAAAAACGCCAGTTTATGGTTAGTTTGACAACTTTTGTGTTAGTTTATTCAATACTGAAATATTACATTATGGTACTGGGGCGGGGGGGATGGGACTTTTTCTTCTCCTTCAATGTTTACAGTTGTCATAGTTAATTGTTACCTCTGCTGTCTAGTCATTTCGCTCATTGACATGCTGTATTTTTTATTATTAACTTTATTTATGCCCATTTGCTTCCTGAAATTGAGATGTAAAGCAGCTGTTCTCTGTGGAATTGCCTGATGTAGGTCTCTGGCCAGCTGTGCTACAATTGGATCTGTTTAGTTTTGTCACTTGCTTCTGTGAGCATGCTTTCTGTCCATATATGGCTGGGTAGCCTTTTAATATTGCCACCAAGGTTTCACAAGGCTGCATTAGAAAATCCCCTCTGTAATACAGTTCTAACCTGGAGTTGCGTTAACAGCATAACATGGAGTAATAGGCATGCATTTTATAGAAAAATTAGGAGATCTGGAGGAGGATTGCTATTGATTGAAATATTTTTATAAGGAAGAGTTATACACACACGCACACACACTTGCTTGGGTACCCTATATATATATATATATATATATATATTACATTACACACACACACATACACATACACACACACACAACATTTATATGCACCCTTTTCACCCCGAAGGGTACTCAGAGCAGCTTACAAGTTATATGTAAATACAATATATTATATTATTAGCATAGCACAACATTAGTACCATGCATTCCCATAATGCCAATTTAGTAAAAATAGGAGTTGGGATTTTTTTTTTGAAGCCTTCTGCTTATGTTCAGAAAGACAAAATACTATACGGTTGATTTTCCTATGCAGAAGATTGAAAAATTGGAGGACTAGCATTGGGAATGGCCTTTCTTTCAAAGCTCCTTCCTTTTTTCCTCAAGGACCTCTATTGAAGATCTTAGTTTTAAAGTAGATAATTCCCCTGACATTAAGTCCAGTTGTGTCCGACTCTGAGGGTTGGTACTAATCTCCATGTCTAAGCCGAAGAGCCGGCGTTGCCCATAGACACCTCCAAGGTCATGTGGCCAGCATGGCTGCATGGAGCGCCGTTACCTTCCCAACAGAGCGGTACCTATTGATCTACTCACATTTGCATGTTTTTGAACTGCTAGGCACCGGGACTGTGGCGCAGCTGGCTGGGAGTCAGCTGCATTAAGATCACTACTGACCGGAAGGTCACGGATTCGAAGCCAGGAGTGAGCTTCCGACCAATTTATGTAGCTTGTTGTCGACCTTTGTAGCCCGAAAGACAGTTGCATCTGTCAAGTAGGAAATTTAGGTACCGCTTATGTGGGGAGGCTAATTTAACTAATTTACGAGGCCATAAAAATCTCCAGCAAGCATGCAAAGAATGAGGAAGTACTTCATCAGTGTCACAAATAGACAGTGAAGTGACAGCTGCCCTGGTGGCCAGAATACCCTCTTGAAAAAGTTGGAATGTTAAATAGCCTCTGAATGTCTATGTATATATGTTGTGTGTCTATAGCATTGAATGTTTGTGATCCACCCTGAGTCCCCTTCGGGGTGAGAAGGGCGGACTATAAATACTGTAAATAAATAAATACGTTAGGAGAAGAATTACATAATACAGTATAATATTATTGAGATAGTGAAGCTTGAGCATCCCTGGAGACAAAGAAACCATTGGAATTGGAGTAACTCAACTCAATATCTCCTCTTTTCTTGGCAGCGGAGGTGAAGCGTGTTGGGGACACGGTGCTGGGCATGGCCACGCAGTGCGTGCAGATGAAAAATGTGCAACGGACAACGCCACAAACCCTGTCCAATCTGTGCTTAAAAATCAATGTCAAATTGGGAGGCGTAAATAACATTTTACTGCCTCAGGGAAGGTAAGAGCGTCTTAGTTAATGAACGATTAAGCATTCGGTGGCACTGCGGTATTGAAGGGGATAGTTTGTTAAGGGGAAGAAAAATAAATTGCCCATTAGTGCAGTGCCTGGATTCTCCTTATTTTCCGGGAAAGAGTTGTACTTGGGGGTCAGGTAATTAAACAAAAATGTTGGTTTCCATGGCGAAAATTTAATGAACAGCTTGTAAAAATGCAAAGGAAGCATGCCTTTTAACAATGGTGTAATGAATCAAGCTGGAACCAGAGGGGGGAAAAACACTTGTTTTGTATGTCACCAAAAAGCTCTCTGTTGTTGATTGAGAGAGAGAGAGAGAGAGAGGCAGAATTATAATGATCTTGTTGGATCCTGATGGATAAGCTATTGAATGCCTAATTTGAAAAACAACCATTGAAACTGTGGACCACAGAGGAAAGAAATATGCATCTTGTGTTGTGTATGGAGAGGTACTGTTGTTATTTGTATAAAGGCTTTCAAGATGGTTTGCTAGAAAAATAATAATGAAGTATTTATTTATCGTGTCAGTGCAACCAGTCGATTATATTACATTTCTAACAGAACAAAGCAAAAAAAGAAAAAGAAAAAAAACAGACAAAATACGAAAATTGTGAGTTTGGTAGTTGATGAAATGTCCTTTGACCAGTATCTGGCCACTTGGAGTGCTTCTGGTGTTGCTGCAAGAAGGTCCTCCATTGTGCATGTGGCAGGGCTCAGGTGGCATTGCAGCAGGTGGTCAGTGGTTTGCTCTTCTCCACAGTTGTGGTTGTGCAGGTGGCGGGGCTCGGGGCTCAGGTTGCATTGCAGCAGGTGGTCAGTGGTTTGCTCTTCTCCACACTCGCATGTCATGGATTCCACTTTGTAGCCCATTTCTTGAGGTTGGCTCTGCATCTCGTGGTGCCAGAGCGCAGTCTGTTCAGCGCCTTCCAAGTTGCCAGTCCTCTGTGTGCCCAGGGGGGAGTCTCTCATTTGGCATCAGCCATTGGTTGAGGTTCTGGGTTTGAGCCTGCCACTTTTGGACTCTTGCTTGCTGAGGTGTTCCAGCGAGTGTCTCTGTAGATCTTAGAAAACTATGTCTAGATTAAGTCATTGACGTGCTGGCTGATACCCAAACAGGGGATGAGCTGGAGATGTCTCTGCCTTGGTCCTTTCACTATTGGCTGCTACTTCCCGGCGGATGTCAGGTGGTGCAAGACCGGCTAAGCAGTGTAATTTCTCCAGTGGTGTAGGGCGCAGACACCCCGTGATAATGCGGCATGTCTCATTAAGAGCCACATCCACTGTTTTAGCGTGGTGAGATGTGTTCCACACTGGGCATGCATATTCAGCAGCAGAGTAGCACAGAGCAAGGGCAGATGTCTTCACTGTATCTGGTTGTGATCCCCAGGTTGTGCCAGTCAATAATGAAGTAAATCTATATGAAAATGTGTGTGTGTAGGTATGCTTGTCTGTCTATATCACTAAGACAGTTGCTAGGTGAAGTGACCCTTTATGATGGCACTGGATTGGCTGTTGCTAGGTGAAGGGTTGGCTGTTGTTAGTTGAAGATTTGGCTTCTTCTAGGTGAAGTGGTCCTCCAATATAACTAGATCGACTTTCGCTAGGTGAAGTGGCCTTCTGTGGATTGCCTGTTGTTAGGTGAAGTGGCCCTCTGATGTCACTGGATTGGCTGTTGTTAGGTGAAGGTTTGGCTGTTTTTAGTTGGAGGTTTGGCTGCTGCTAGGCGAAGTGGTCCTCCAATATAACTAGATCGACTTTCGCTAGGTGAAGTGGCCTTCTGTGATGTCACTAGGAAAGAAAAATGTGTGAAGGGAAGTGAGGAAGGACAGCTATGTTTCCGTAGAGACATTGTGAGACATACCTCAGAGCTGGAGAAGGGAGAAAGTAGAAAATAAAAATAGGGCATCAAAATGAGAAAGCCAGCATTCAAAATATCACCAGGTATTAAACTCACAGGATAACTTCAGATTAAAGCTGCTGTTAATAAGCTCATTCTAATACTTTAGAAGGAGACCAAATGCATTTTCTACTCGCTTTTCCTTTTGTCTCATGTCTTAATTAGATCGTAATTGCAGGGAGCCGTTTTGTTCTTTGTTGCCACATAAAATGATGGCGATGCTATCTAAATAGAGGATAATAATGCCATATTAGTCTCCGCTAATAAGAAAAATAAATACAAACACTGCTGTGTGGATGAAAGTATGAGACTGAGTGAATTGCGCTGCTAGCGAAGAATAAAAAAGGCACTTTACCATCTTACGGTGTAAATTTGTAATGTTTTTGTATTTCTTCTGAATCAGACCCCCAGTCTTCCAGCAGCCTGTAATTTTCCTGGGTGCAGACGTCACTCACCCACCAGCTGGAGATGGGAAAAAGCCATCCATCGCTGCTGTAAGTAAATTTATCAGTTAGTCACCACTCTTATATTTACTTGCATATAAAGTTGCTTTAAATATATATTGTTCACAAATTTTACAGGAATTGGGGGGGGGGCATGCTGAGGATATGCATTTATTTACTATGAAATGCAATTTTACAAGCCTAATACTGAAGTGATTTGATATATTTCAATCGTTTTTGATCTCTGCATAATATTCTACGCCTAGCCTGTTGAGCGAGTGGGCTAATTAACAAAAGACCCTCCCCATAAATGTATAGCAAGGTAACTTAACAAAAATACACAGACCAATGTTATCTCTTCCATAGGAGGCCTTTCTTTGTAGTAAAATAATATGGTTGCACTATTTACAAGAACAACGTTTCTATAACACAAATAAAGTTCTTTATACTTCCTTCATTGCTTCCATGCTGGGCTTCTTTCTTATGCAGATAAACAGCTTCGCTCTCACAGAGCCTCTTCTCACACCGATTGTACACAGGAGCTTCACACAATAGCTTTACACACAGCAACTTTACACACAAGGCCTTCAACATGGGGCTTCTTTCATCAAAGCTTCTCACACTTGGCCTTCTCACAGACTAAGGCCTGCCTCACATTGTGAGGCCTTCTCACAGACTGAGACGCTTCTCCCACTGAGGTTTACCTCAGAATGAGGGCTGCTAAACTACAGGCACACCTGCTTCTATAGAACTGAAACTTTTGCTGAGTCATTACATCCATGTCACCCTTTCAGTGCTTGACTCACATCTTTGTACTTAGAAATAGTTAATTTTTAATATTTCTGACATGGACAACAATTTGCTATCAGCTATAACTCGTTTTGGGCAGTGGTGCATCTGGTTAAACTGCTGAGATGCTGAATTTGCTGACCAAAAGGTTGGCGGTTTGAATCTGGGGAGCAGTGTGAGCTACCACTGTTAGCCGCAACTTCTGCCAACCTAGCAGTTCGAAAACATGCAAATGTGAGTAGATCAATAGGTACTACTTCTGCAGGAAGGTAACGGCACTCCATGCAGTCATGCTGGCCACATGACTTTGGAGGTGTCTATGGACAACACCGGCTCTTTGGCTCTCTATGTGGGGTTGCCTTTGAAGATTGCTCGGAAGCTTCAAATGGTCCAACACTCGGCAGCCAGGATGCTAACAGGAGCGGCATTCAGGGAGCATACTACTCCTCTGTTGCGCCAGCTCCACTGGCTGCCAATTTGCTACCGGGCACAATTCAAAGTGCTGGCTTTAGCCTATAAAGCCCTAAACGGTTCTGGCCTGACTTACCTGTCCAAACGCATCTCCTCCTATGAACCAGCTAGGACATTAAGATCATCTGGGGAGGCCCTGCTCTCGGTCCCACCGGCATCACAAGCACGCCTGGCGGGGACGAGAGACAGGGCCTTCTCAGTGGTGGCCCCTCGGCTGTGGAACACCCTTCCTACAGATATCAGATTGGCCCCCTCCTTATTGGCATTTTGGAGGAAAGTGAAGACCTGGTTGTTCGAACAGGCATTCGATTAGGCAGTGTAATTAATTACAGGAACACGGAATAACGCATGATGAGATTGGATTCTGGTTCTATTGACGAGATGCGAATGATTTGTCATATTGATGTTTAATTGTTGTTATGCTAATGTTTTTAAATGTTCCAATGGTTTTGTAATGTGTGCATTGAAATTGCTGCTGTTAACTGCTTTGAGTCGCCTAAGGGCTGAAAAAAGCGGTATATAAATGAAGTAAATAATAATTTTGTCGTGTCAGGAGTGACTTGAGAAACTGCAAGTCGCTTCTGGTGTGAGAGAATTGGCCGTCTGCAAGGACGTTGCCCAGGGGATGCCTGGATGATTTGATGTTTTTTATCATCCTTGTGGGAGGCTTCTCTCATGTCCCCGCATGAGGAGCTGGAGCTGATAGAGGGAGCTCATTCGCCTCTCCCCGGATTCGAACTTGCAACCTGTCGGTCTTCAGTCCTGCACAGGATGAGCACCCCCCCCCCCAAAGTTAAGACTTAATATCAGGGGAAACAGTTACCTTTTTAAAAACTCATATTGAGTGGGGGGTTTGGATGTGGTCCGCATTTGGCACCTTTGGAGGCCCTTTCAAAGCCTCAATGCCACTAGCTTAGTCTTTGCTGGTGATGTGCAAAGGGTTTTGTGGCCAAAAGGGAGCGCTCGCGCATGTGGCAACGGCGGTTCTTTCTCCCCAACAGGTTGTAGGCAGCATGGATGCCCACCCGAACCGATACTGTGCCACTGTGAGGGTCCAGCAGCATCGCCAGGAGATCATCCAGGATCTGGCTGCCATGGTCAGGGAGCTGCTGATCCAGTTCTACAAGTCGACGCGGTTCAAACCTACCCGGATCATTTTCTACAGGGACGGCGTTTCCGAGGGGCAGTTTCAACAGGTTACCATTTTTCCCCCGTCTTTAGTTTGAAACCATCTACAAGAAGAAAGGGAGGAAAAGTAGATGAATCTCTTATGCAGGCCTGGGCAAACTCCATCCCTCCAGGTGTTTTGGACTTCAACTCCCACAATTCCTAACAGCCGGAATTGTGGGAGTTGAAGTCCAAAACACCTGGAGGGCTGGAGTTTGCCCAGGCCTGCTCCAATGACAATAACAACACAATGGAAAATAGAATTATGCCTAGGTTCACTCTGACTCAGACCTCTGTTGATTGTATACTGTTGAAATTAGGAGAGACTCGAGCCAGACTAAATTCTCTACATTGGTGTTCAAATGGCACTGGGATGATAAAGTGTTTGCAAGCCTGGTTGGCAGGCTTGGGCCTATGCAGACATCTGTAATAACAACGCTGATCTTCTCCCAAGTGCTTTCTAGTTTAATCTCATTAAGTAAAGAATGTAGGGTAGGTCCTTGTATACTTAGGATTGCCTGTTTCGCTGCAGGGGAAAATACCTGAATACCTGAAAATATCTTGGCACCTTGGTGCTTTTTTTTGGTATGTGTGTCCTTGTTACCGCTGCTATGTTTGTAACATTTCAGGATGCCTCATGCCCTGTTCCTTGCTCTCACCCTTTGTTTTGCTGTAGGTTCTCCATCACGAATTGCTGGCTATCAGAGAAGCGTGTATTAAGCTAGAAAAGGACTACCAGCCTGGGATTACATTCATTGTCGTGCAGAAGAGGCATCATACCAGGCTGTTTTGTACAGACAAAAATGAACGGGTGTGTATATCAGCCATATTGTTTTGATGTTGTTTACAATTGCGATTGTTTTATATTTTATCTGAAGTTTTTAATTGGTTGTGTTTTATGTGTAATTTTGGGCTTGTCTTTTGTAAGCCGCCCCGAGTCCCTTTGGGGAGATGGTTGGCAGGGTATAAAAATGAAGTTATTATTATTATTATTAATAATAATAATAATAATAATTTTTATTTATTTATTTATTTATTTGTCGTGCCAGGGCAACCAGTCATTATATTATATTACATTATATTACATTTCTAACAGAACAAAGCAAACAAACAGACAAAATACAAAATTTGTGAGTTTGGTAGTTGATTGAATGTCCTTTGACCAGTATCTGGCCACTTGGAATGCTTCTGGTGTGGCTGCAAGAAGGTCCTCCATTCTGCATGTGGCAGGGCTCAGGTTGCATTGCAGCAGGTGGTCAGTGGTTTGCTCTTCTCCACACTCGCATGTCGAGGATTCAACTTTGTAGCCCCATTTCTGAAGGTTGGCTCTGCATCTTGTGGTGCCAGAGCGCAGTCTGTTCAGCGCCTTCCAAGTCACCCAGTCTTCTGTGTGCCCAGGGGGGAGTCTCTCATTTGGTATCAGCCATTGGTTGAGGTTCTGGGTTTGAGCCTGCCACTTTTGGACTCTCGCTTGCTGAGGTGTTCCAGCGAGTGTCTCTGTAGATCTTAGAAAACTATTTCTAGATTTAAGTCGTTGACGTGCTGGCTGATACCCAAACAGGGGATGAGCTGGAGATGTCTCTGCCTTGGTCCTTTCACTAGTGGCTGCTACTTCCCGGCGGATGTCAGGTGGTGCAATACCGGCTAAGCAGTGTAATTTCTCCAGTGGTGTAGGGCGCAGACACCCTGTGATAATGCGGCATGTCTCATTAAGAGCCACATCCACTGTTTTAGTGTGGTGAGATGTGTTCCACACTGGGCATGCATACTCAGCAGCAGAGTAGCACAGCGCAAGGGAGGGTGGACATTAGATTGTTGTTGTTGTTGTTGTTGTTGTTGTTGTTGTTGTTGTTGTTGTTATTATTATATATCACTGAGATTAGGTCGAAGCTTGCAAATGATCCAAACGACAGTCTAAGCCAGGCATATGTGAAGTTAATATTCAAAATAAAAACAAACAAACAAACAAATATAACACATTCCTCATCTTATTTTTTGTGCTACAGGTTGGGAAAAGTGGCAACATTCCAGCAGGTACAACAGTGGACACAAAAATCACCCACCCGTCAGAGTTTGACTTCTATCTGTGTAGTCATGCTGGTATTCAGGTAAACTACGATCATGTGAAATATTTTTGGAAATTATAGATGAGAAATTAGCCATCGGGAAATCGGAATTTGAATTTGGGGATTGCAGGTGTTGGGTGAGAGGGCTTATTAACAAAAGACCTCCCCATGAATGTATAGCAGAGTAACTTATTAGCAGCAGAGTGACCCAGGGTGAGTAGCCCAAAGTGATAAAAAGCAAAAACATCACAATACATTTAAAAACCATAAAAGCAATCTATATAAATCTATATAAATATGTCCTTCACTCAAAAAAAATGATTTTTGTCATTTGGGAGTTGTAGTTTCTGAGATTTATAGTTTATCTACAATCAAAGAGCATTCTGAACCCCACCAATGATGGAATTGAACCAAACTTAGCACACAGTTCTCCCATGACCAACAGAAAATACTGGAAGGGTTTGGTGGGCAGTGCCCTTTGGTTTTGGAGTTGTAGTTCACCTACATCCAGAGATCACTGTGGACTCAAACAATGATGGATCTGGACCAAACTCTACACGAATACTCAATATGGCCCAAATGTGAACACTGGTGGAGTTTGGGGGAAATAGAATCTTGACATTTGGGAGTTGTAGTTGCTGGGATTTATAGTTCACCTACAATCACAGAGCATTCTGAACCCCACCAACGATAGAATTGGGCCAAACCTCCCACACAGAACCCGCATGTGGGCCATAGCAATGCGTGGCAGGGGATTGCTAGTGAATAATAAAAATTATAAAAACTATGTCTTCTTGTTCAAAAGGATGTCTTTGAGTGCTTCATAAAACTGCAGAAGGAGAGCTAGTTTTCCAGTGGGTGAAAACGCTTTGGGCTGATTTACATATTTAACTATGTCTTTCAAATAAATCTAGACAGAATTGTAGTCAATCTTAGAGAAGTTCATTGTGGATTCCCTGCCAAGGGATATCCAACCAAACAGGTTTTAGCTAATGGAGGGAAGACATGTTTGCCAAGCGCTGTCTGTGATCTGCCTTCTTCAGGGAACAAGCAGACCATCTCATTACCACGTTCTCTGGGATGACAATCGTTTCTCTTCGGATGAGCTCCAGATCCTCACCTACCAGCTGTGTCACACGTACGTTCGCTGCACCCGCTCTGTTTCCATCCCTGCACCAGCATACTATGCACACCTGGTGGCCTTCAGAGCCAGGTATCATCTGGTGGATAAAGAACACGACAGGTGGGTCACACATTTGGGGTTCTTTCCTGTCTGGGGGGCTTCAGAGCAAATTCTGACCTCTCACCTCAACTGTGATAATGTACCTTAATTGGGATACATTGAGATATTCTTGGTGTGTATCCTCTTAAACGCTATAAACTTTATTATTTGTATTTTTTTAACTGCAGAGAATTCCGTTTAAGGGATTATCTGACAGTTTTGTTCCTGTTCTCACTTTTTTTTTTTCTAAAAAAAGAGACTCAAGTTGGCTTGCAGTAAAACCAATACGATATAGGTTAAATCCCCCAAAATATACAAATATTAAATAGAATTATCGTATATACTCAAATATAAGTTGAGTTTTTCAGCCCTTTTTTAAAGGCTGAAAAGCCCCCCTCGGCTTATACTCGAGTCAAAGTTATTTATAAATTTACTCTGTTATTATTTTTATTACGTTTATTATTTTAGTCTTATTTATTATTTTACTGAGACAAAAGCACAGTATGTCACAGCAAACAAGATATATATGCTGGATTTCATATCACAAAACCACAAGTCGAACACTTCCCAAGTGTCTAGGACTGTGTGATGTATTTTTGAATGATGCACGCAGATCCAAATAAGGTGGCCTTTTGCAACTGACAGATTGTGATTTTGTCAATGTTTATTGTTTCCAAATGCTGAGATATTTTGGCATGGCACCCAGTGTGCCGATGACCACTGGGACCACGTGTACTGGTTTAGGCCAGAGCCTTTGCAATTAAATTATTACATTTATTATTTTATTCCTTTTATTATTACATGTATTACTGTATTATTCTTATTACATTTATTAATTTACTCCTTTTATTACTACTATTACATTTATTATTTCGCTCTATTATTCCATTTATTATTTTACCCAATTTATTATTATTACATTTATTTCACTATTATAATTATTACATTTATTATTTCATTCTTATTATTTTTATTATTTTATTCCATTTATTATTATTATATTTATTATTTTACTCTATCATTACTGTTATTATTACATTTCCATTATTTTACTGTTATTACTGCTACTATCACATTTATTATTTTATTCCTTTTGTTATTATTACATATATTATTTTATTATTCTTATTACATTTATTATTTTACTACTTTTATTACTTTTATTATTTTACTCTATTATTATTCCATTTATTATTTTATTCCTATAATAATAATAATAATAATAATAATAATAATTAAATTTATTATTTTACTATATCATTACTGTTATTATTACATTTCCATTATTTTACTCTATCATTACTGTTATTATCACATTTATTATTTTACTCCTTTTATTATTGTTGGAAGGATAAGTAAGCACATTTACATTGAAAAAGGTTAGAATAATGATTTAATCAGAGCTGGACAGTCTTATTTCAAATTACAGATTTATGTAAATATTCAAAAGCATTTAACCTACTGATGCCTCAATGTCATTTTATTGGTTTCTATTTTTATTTTGAAAATTACCAGTAACTGCTGCATTTCCCACCCTCGGCTTATATTTGAATCAATACATTTTCCCAGTTTTTTGTTCTAAAATTTGGTGCCTTGGCTTATATTCGGGTTGGCTTATATCTATGGGTATATGTTAAGCTGGCATATATACTGGGTGTTGCCTAGGTTTGCATTTTCTTCGTGGCTGTTTCTTTCCTTCCTCCTTTTCCCTCATACACCTTGTCTCTCCTTCTTTTCCTCCTTTCCATCTTCCCTTGCTTTCCTTCCTACATCTTGCCCCCTCTTCTTTCTTTCCTAATAATAATAATAATAATAATAATAATAATACTTTATTTATACTCCGCCACCATCTCTCCAAGGGACTCGGAGTGGCTTACATGAGGCCAAGCCCAACAACACATCAATAAAAACAACAAACAATAAGCAAATAAAAAATACAATTAATATAACTCACATATAGACAAACTACATAGAGATTTAAAAACCTCTCTCTTCCTGCCTTTGTCTTGCCTTCATTTTTCTTCATCCTTCTTTCCTTCCCATTCTTACCTTTTATTTATTTATTATTTATTTATTTATTTGCAGCTTTTATATTCCGCCCTTCTCACCCCGCAGGAGACTCAGGGCGGATTACAGTGTACAAATATATGGCAAACATTCAATTCCAATTTTTGACATACGAACATAGACAGACATAGACAGAGGCTATTTAACTTTTTCTGGCCGCCAGGGGAGCTGTCGCTTTCATCGTCCATCTGCGACACTGATGAAGTACTTCCGCATTCCCCGCATGCTTTTGCTGAAGTCTTTTTTTATGGCCTCATAAATTAGTTAATTTAGCCTCCCCACACTTTAAGGTGGTACCTTATTTTCCTACTTGACAGATGCAACTGTCTTTCGGGTTGCAAAGGTCGACAACAGGCTACACAATTGGTTGGAAACCCACTCCAACCTGGGCTGGCTTCGAACTCATGACCTTTTGGTCAGAGTGATCTTAATGCAGCTGACACTCAGCCAACTGCGCCACAATCCCGGTGCAATCCCTTGCCCCCTCTTCTTGCTTTTCTTTCTCTTCCTGCCTTTGTCTTGCCTTCATTTTTCTTCTCCCTTCCTTCGTCCTTCTTTTCCTTCCCATTCTTGCCTTTTCTTTGCATCTTTCCCTTTTCTCCATTTCCTTTTTCTTCCTTCATCTGGCCTTTGCTTGGATATCACCGTCTCTCAGCCTCATTCAATTGTTTACTTCCTTATGGGGTGCAAAAGGTAACCAACCAAGGGTTTTCTGTCCCTTCTCTTTTGTATCATGCAGTGCTGAAGGGAGTCATACTTCTGGCCAGAGCAATGGCAGAGATCATCAAGCACTTGCAAAAGCTGTTCAGGTTCATCAGGATACATTACGCACCATGTACTTTGCCTGATATTGCTGCAATGATTTCAGTAACTCGCCTCGGAGTTGGATTCACGGGAGACCAGCTGCACTTAGACCAACAGTTGCGCAAGCTACAGCGACAGCCAGCAATGAGTGATGCATCTTTTATTTTATTTTTTAAATATATATATTATAGGTTTTTTTTTCCATTTGCAAGGAAGCCTTCCGTCCGGAATTTCAGACTTAATTGCAAACTGCAGACCTGTTTGTTCAAAATTGCACAGCAGTTAGAAGTGTGGATTTGCCAAAATCAAAAGCTGCTTGTCAGGAGGAAAGGAAAAAAAAAATCAGAACCCATCTTTCATAACTATATCTAGAGCTGTGATCTCAGGGCTAAAAAAAAAAAAAAATACGTCTCATTGAATTATGCCTTTCCATATATATCTGCATTGTCACTGATATGAGAAATACTCAAGTTCAGGCTTATTGGGCTTGAGAAGAAACGATGAGTTTGCTTTGATTCCTGAAAAGAGATCAGAATATTAATTTTGGGTGCCATTGAGATGTTTGCTCGTTCCGGATGCATTCACAAACGTTCTATCACTGAGAAACGAAAAGAGAATCCCTGGGCTGTCTTTAGCTGTCTTATGGAGGAACAGTCTGTGGGGGTCTATGGGCAAAAAACGTATTTTTTGGGAGTTTGCTCTTGAATGTCTTTCACTGTGCTGTTAAAATTCTTCTTCTTTTTGTAGAATGAATTATGATGGATTTATTTCAGTTAGGGAAAGGAATTTATGTATACTTTAGGAATAGGTCCATTGAAAACTTAGCAAAGTGTGCCATTTTTTTTTTAAAAAAAGAGATGTATTTTTTTCTTTTCCTTTTAAAGAATCCATTTTGATTACTAATCATGGAGTTGGTCCTATAGGACTGTGACACTTAATTTTCCAAAGCTTTTTCTAAAGAATACGGGTCTGTTGGTGATACAGTACAATCTTTTTCACTATTATGTTTGAATTAATGTAAAATTTTGTATGTGTTTCACAGTATTAACATGATAGACTAGATGCTATTTATTTTTATTTACTAAGGAGTGCTCAACGTAGTTCTGTTAACATATCATTGGTCGAGAGGCTTTTTTTTTTGGATTTTGGAAAAGAGAAACTTATTATCATGTGGTCACTAGTGATTTATTTGGGTCTGAACTCACCAACCATGACATTTGTCAGTCAGTCTGTGTTTAGTTTTGGAATGAATGGAGGAGGATGCATTGTAGCAGTAGGAATATGCAAGGAACGTACAACATTTAGAGCAGTGGTTCTCAATCTGGGGTCCCCAGATATTTTTGGCCTTCAACTCCCAGAAATCCTAACAGCTGGTAAACTGGCTGGGATTTCTGGGAGTTGTAGGCCAAAAACATCTGGGGACCCCAGGTTGAGAACCACTGATTTAGAGGTTCTTTCAGGAAGGACTACTCGATGGGTAAACTCTTCAGCTCGAAAACTTTGTTTTTATTTTAAGCATAGACATGGAAGAACAATTCCTGACACATCCAAGCACAAATATGATTTTTCTGTCTTTATCGTTGTAGAAGTTGAAGGAAAGGAAACTGGTATTTTAGTTGAGGAGGGATATGTTGATCTTAGGCAGAGGATGAACAAAACAGCGTCCTCTTTGAAGATGTATTGTTTCAGAGTTCTGGAAATAAAAGCTTCTGTTTGTACACGATGACTAGACATGACTCTTCAGAGCTTCTGTATCAGACATGGGCAAAGTTTGGCCCTCCCTCCAGGGGTTTTGGACTACAACTTCCATAATTCCTAACAGCCGGTAGGCTGTTAGGAATTGTGGGAGTTGTAGTCCAAAATCCCTGGAGGGAGGGCCAAACTTTGCCCATTCCTGCAATCGCAGAAAGCCCAGGAAGTTTTCCTTCTAATCTGATCTTTTATCAATTCAGGTTTGTTTCTTTCTCCTAAACGCAGAGTACAATAGAGTCTTGCTTATCCGACATAAACGGGCTGGCAGAATATTGGGTAAACAAAATTGTCGGATAATAAGGAGTGTCCTACTGTTACCCATCCGACGCGGCGGTAGACACCTAGACTACTAACAACAGGGACTCAAAGAGTTAAGGCAAGGCAATGCCTCGGGGCTAGAGCAGTCCAGCAGAATGTGCCCAGATGTGGAAGAGGAGCGTGGAAATCACAGAAGGGAAGGAAGGAGGACGCTTCCGTTTCCAGTCCTGCCTCTTTCCCCCCTTCCTCCTCTTCCTTGTCTTGCCTTCTTCACTTATTGGGAATGGAGAGAGAGTTAGGGAGCACTCCTTTAATTGAAGGGGAAATGCTGGTGGAAAAGGGGTCTCCGGATAAGATAGAAGGTCGGATAAGCGAAGGTTGGATAAGCGAGACTCTACTGTAGATGCTTTTTTTAGGTTTCCCTTTTTTCTTCATTCAGCAAAGAGGGGGAAATGGGATCAGACAGACTGTGCTTGGAATATTGTTGGTATTGTAGAACTGATTGTCAACGCCTGAGCAAGTAAATGCTCATTTCTGTTGTTGCCTATAAGAATAATAATTATTTTATTGTTAGGGATTTAACTTGTCTTGTATATCTGTTGACGTCTGCACTTAGGAAGCAGTGCCTCGTGTTGCCAAATGGATGTGGCTGGAACAACATGCCTTTTGGGGCAGGAAATATTTACCTTGGTTCAGGAATATTGTGGGAAGGGGGGGCACGATGCACACGTGTCTTGTCTTGTTTTGTTTCCAAAATCTTGTACACTGCAGTTCTAGTTAATTCATATTGGGCCTAGACGAGGGTCTCTCTCATTTGGAAAGCCAATTGCAGTCTTTATTTGACTTCTGTAGCATACATAACAGCCTTTTCTTTTCGGAGGACTTGCACTTTCCAGCCAGTTTTGTGGATAGGCTACAATGTGAAGAGCCTTTCAAGTTTGGCTAATACCTTGATTTTGGAATTATGTCATGATTCGCTTTCTATTTTGGTAAATAGCTCATTAATTATTCTTTTATTCTATATCTTTTTGGTGCCCAGAAATGATGGCTTCATCATTGTTTTCTAGTCATGTGCATTCAGGATAAACCTTGATTCGTTTTGTGTCTTGGCTTTCGGTGGGTCCCCCAATTCGTTTCTACTGAGCCTCCCAAAATTGGGAGGGCACATAGTTGCTTTCGGTTTTCAGGTGCCGAAAGATTAATTTTCTTTCGTCCCATTGTTGTGGGGGCTTCCCACCCAGGCTCCCCTTCCCAGCATGCCCTTTTGGACAGGGTTTGCCTCACTTCAACCGGAGCTCCCTGAAGGGCTCCCTGGCTGGTGCTGAAGACCCTTCGTGTTTGCTGTTGGTGGGCTTTCTCCAAAACCCAAAGTGTAGGCCCGAAGTGCCTGGGCCTGCCAGGGTCTGCAGCCAAGTGCTGAGTAAGGAGCACTCCTTATTTGGCGCGTGGCTGCAAGCCCTGGCAGGCCCAGGCACGGCAATTGATCCAAAAAGCAGGCTTGGATACGGTACCCGCTCTCACCTACCTTTCATACCGAGTTTATTTTCGTGCCAGGAGGGACCCTCCCATTCCGTGCCATCCAAATGGACGGGACGGAACGAAAACTCGAATCAAACAAATGATACAGATACTGGGCCCATGACTATTGTTTTCCTCTCCAGAACTCAGTGGTCAGATCATAACAAAAGTTTGTCATGTCTGTTGTTAGCTGGCAAAGAACAAAAACAGTAGCTCCTATCTTTAGATGGCTGTCGGAACCCATAGATTTCTGTTTTCCTCCATTTTCAAATCATTGAAACATATTAATCAGTGTGCAGATATATGCCTACAACTGACTTACTATTAGAAGCCAGTGTGGATCCTTCTCCAAAGGACTGATAATGTCTATTCACTGGTTCATGTGGCAATTCTGAGCGCATATCTTTCTGGGTGGAAGGACCATGGCTTTCCGGAACCTGGATATTATTAGATCAGGGAGAAGAAACGCACGTGGTTCTCTTTTCATCCTATTTACTGTAATCTTAAAAGATGGTGTTTACATTACCCTTGTTCGATTCATCGTAAGCTAAGGCTAGGCAAAATTCAGCCTATTCTGGGTGTGTTGGGGAAGGGTTGTGAGACTGTTTTGAACCATTTGACAATGCACTTTGAAAAGGTAGGGCACTCTAAATATGCACAACCGCTTTGTATAACATATGCATGAAACCAAAATTCCAAATTGAAACAAAGAATATACTTTTTTTTGATGTAGCTGTTTACTGCAACAACACTTGTAAGCACAGCAATATCTCAGGTGAATAATTTCATACAATTTTATCCAAAATCTTATCCATGAGAACAAAGGGGACTAGTTTACAGCAAGTGAGGGTGACTCTGGGATCTGGTGCAGAGCTGAAAAACTTCTAAAATTTGGTTCAGCTTTTTATTTTTAGAATCACTTCAAATTAAACTTACCCTGTGACTCGTTTGGCCTCTTTTTTTAAGCTAGTGCTCTTTCACTTATAGAAAAATATAGGTATGATTGACTGGTTCCCTAAATTGGTTAAAACTGGCATCAAAGTCTAGGTATTGCAAATTTACATTGCTTATGGCAGCGCCAGTCTTTTCTTGTAAGGACTTCACTACAAGGATTAGACCATCCTATGCATTTATCTGTGCCATTGCTGGTTTGATGCTTAAACATTCATGTATCATTTTGGTATGGAAGAGGTAGAGGCTGGTATCTCCGCTCTCAAAACATGAAACTTTGACTTCACTTCATGTTTGAGGGTTATCCGGAAAGTAAGTTTACAAGATTTTTTAGAAATACAAAGTATGAATATATTTTAATAAAACTTACATGGATCATAGTATAGGTATTACATTTTTTTCTACATAATCACCATTCAGTTCAATATATTTTGTTATCTGTGGGATGAGTTTTTGATGCCTGTGTCATAGAAGTTTCCCTCCACCTTTTTCAGCCAGTTAGTCCCTTTGATTTTCACCTTGTTTTCCACCCAGGTGTTCCTTCAATTTAGTGAACAGATGATAGTCATTGAGTGTGAGATTGGGGCTGTGAGAGGGGTGGCTTAAAACATCCCAGTCAAATGAAGTCAACAACTCTTGTGTTGCATGAGCACCGTGTGGACACGCATTGTCATGAAGGAGGCAGACTCCCGCCGTCAGCATCCCATCACATTTGTTTTGGATGGCTCTGTGAAGTTTCTTCATGGTCTCACAATATATTCCATATCCGTTTTGTCTTGACATTACATCCCCTCTGCAAACTGAAATGATTTCGCAATGAATCGCAGTGGTGTTCATGCCCTTAGCATTTAGATAGTGTAGAACTTTGCACTTGGAGGAAAGCAGAATGAGGACACTCAGCTCTAACCTTCACCACAACGCCAGTTGATGAGCTACTGACGACTGGCACTGCTCATTCATTTCCGCTGGCTTCCCGCTACATGGCAGTGATACCAATTTCCCCTGCGAAAATTCCCTTTACTTTCCGGATAGCCCTCATAGAAATCTTGATGAAATTGAAACACAGCGCCATAAACATGATGCAGATTTGACAGCAGTAACTTAGTTGTTTGCTGCTTCCCTTACTCCAAATTTCAAGTAAGAGAAGAAAACAGCATTCAATAGCAATGTTGCTATTCTGTACCACAAACCAGTGAACCAGTAAAGGTCAACTGAAGCCATTCTATTCTGAAAGAAACGTGTACTATAAGTTGGTCTCCTGTGCCTTTTAACTACACTTTTCTTGATGGTGAAAGCACTAATGTCTTCTGTAGCCCATAAGGTTGCCTCTGTGGCCCTTTCTCTCAGAGGCTGTGCTTTTTTGGCCAGAGAGGATGATGGGTCTTGGAGTAGGAAGCCATGGGTGGATCTGGCTCTTCTAGCAATGGCCCTCCTCATTGAGTCATGTTTTGAGCCCAGCCAAATTCCTTGCATCTCCTCTAATATGACAATGACAGGGCATTAGAGGAGATTCACCTTTTAAAAAAACTGTGTGATTTTTTGGGTTGTTCTAAGTTTTCCGGGCTGCATGGCTACGTTCCAGAAGCATTTATCTCCTAACGTTTTGGTCACATCTATGGCAAGCATCCTCAGAGATCTGTTGGAAACTAGGCAAGTGAGGTTTATATATCTGTGGAATAAGGTCCAGGATGGGAGGAAGAACTCTTGTCTGTTCTCCTCACTTGCCTAGTTTCCAACAGACCTCATAACCTCTGAGGATGCCTGCCATAGATGTGGGCAAAACGTGGCCATAGAGTTCGGAAACATGGCCACAGAGTCCAGAAAACTCAAAGCAACCCAGTGATTCTAGCCATGAAAGCCTTCGACAACACTTTTTGTTTTGCGTGAAACTAATTTTTGTCTAACTCGTCCAACATATCATGTAACGGCAAATGAAGTCTGCAAGTTGAGTTGGGAGGTTGTTGAAAGACGTGTCTTTATCTCCGCTCTTGCTTCCTCCCCTCGTTTACTCTGGGGATGATGCTTAATATGCTGATAGATAAATCCCCTGTTCGAGTTAGATATGAAAAAGTGCTTGGTTTGTGCCCCGAACCCGAATCATATATCTCAGGTGGCATCCAAATATAAGCGGGTTGTGTAAGCACCAGGAGAGATGACGATGTGTCCTTTGTATTTGTGTTTTAAGGTTGCATTAGATATGAAATTGGCATGAAGATGGGGGGAATTCCATGGCATAGCTGTCGTTGTCCAACCCCATGAAAGCCTTCAAAACAGGAATATCAGGAAGTAAATTGTCAGCATATGGAAAGAGCAA